CGATTTTATAGAAAATTTTTTTGACAATAGATACCATGGTCTTATAGATCATACTAAAATGTTACGGCCATACGATAAGTCGTTTAATTTTAAAAATTTGCCAAAGTTATTTCATATTTAAAATTTGTCATATTTGAAAATATTTCATAGTTAAAATTTGTGTCAAAAGTTGCTTTTATGATGTGATAATTCAAACATTTTCAATTCATTAAAATATGGAATAAAAAGCTACAATATTAGGACACACAAGCACGTGCCTGTGCAATATAATTAATAAAAATACAGATAATTTAAATGTGCGAGAAAGATCAATTAGAAATCGCATTGTTAAGATTTAATTGAAAGCGAAAACTTGATTTTCGAAATAAACACTTGGAAACTTTATCTATATCCCAATTTCGATAGATTAAGTTAATTATAACACCTATCGGGTTTTGCAATTTGCCAAGGCAATAGAATAGAAATGCTTATAATTTAGCTCTTTAGCTTATTTTGCAGAGCCAATAAAATATTGGTTAGCAAATGCCTATAAATTCATAAGCATAAAGCTATATAGATAGACCATTCTATAAACAAACTGATCACTGGTGCCAGTCGCCTAAGAAGACCGTGCCAAAAAAAACATCACAAGTTAATAACTTTAGTAGAAATACTTGCATAAAATAAACAGCGCATTGGTAATTGGCGCGGATCGTATTTATGAATTGCGCTGCCGTTTTTATGCCGGCGGACTGCCGTTATAAACTGATTAAATTACGATCCATTGTGTAACTTTATGACAAAGGTCGAGTTTACAGGATGTCTGTTGTTTCTATACAAATAATACGACATGAAAAAGGTAGATGGTTGGTGAATAATATTTTCTTACTGGAATAAATTTAGGAAGAAAATTATATTTTTATCGAGGTACATAGGAATCAAATAACTGCGAAGAAAATATTAGGTTGTCAAATATCTCCCTTCCGCCTTTTTGTATTATAAACCAATAGCAAAAAAGCGGAAGGGAGATATTTGACAACCTATTATATACGTTTTACTATGAAATTTTTAGAGAATCCGCATTTACAATTAATTTTTCGCATGTAATTTATTATTATTATATAATATTATTATATATTATTTTTTTTAAATGTGAAATATATTTAACAGGTTCATCTACTTCATCAAAAATATATTTGTTTATTTATATCAGGTTGCCAACAAAATAACTTTATTCTGTAATGCATAGTCATTTCAATCAATGATTTTTTTTATTTTTCAATGAGCTTTATTGTCCCATTTTCACAAAAACTTTTGATTTTTATTAGCTAAAAAGTGAATTCGATACAATTTGATTAAGACGACTTTGGATTATGATAATTATTGAATTGAGCACCATTCCAGAAGATTTTAAATATGGAAAGAAGAAGTAATCACATGGTGCAGAGCCCAGGACTATATGATGGATGTGGCAAAACATGTGTGGATGTGGTGTCAATGATTGAATATATCATCTTTTAGATTTACGAATTCAGACGTTTCTTCAGCCAAATTATTTAATTTTGTTAGTTGTTATGTATAGACGTTAGATTGATCGTTCGGTTGGGTGGTAGGAGTTCAAAGTAGACAATTCCTTTGTAATCAACTTCAACTGAAAGACTAAAGCGTTTTTCTAACCACTTCTCATAGGCCAATTATATTTGAAGGGGTTCGGTTTGATTTTCAACTCTATCATCATGCGAAATTTCATCAACATCCGAGAAGAGTAAACCTGAGGGTTCCCTCGTGAGTGCAAAATCATATAAACAATTTTGAAACTGCCGTTTACTAAGGCTTCGTCACCATAAACAGTGCGTAACTTTTCGTAAACTAAAGATGACCTTTTACTTTTGAGAAATAAACAAGCAAAATCTGCCACAAAATTTCGATTTGATTTTCCATCATTCAACGACTTTTCAAAAACTTTCCATCATTCAACAACTTTTCAAAAAATGAATCAAGAAATTATTTTTTAGTTATTGACATCTGAATTGCCTACAATCCAAAAGGTATTTTACATTTGGACTACGTCAGCAATCTTAAAAATTTAATTAATCTAAAGAACGGAGCTGCACTTATTTGGTTGCCAACAAAACAAAAAAATACGTCTTATAATGCCTAAATTTCATTATAGTAAGAAGATTGGGTTATTTTCAAATACTTACTGTTTTCGTATATTAGTAATAATTTATTTAATTTAGTTGTAAGTTGTAAAACTTAAATAAAACCTTTTAAAATAATTAACAAATATCTTGCTCGATTTTATTAGCATTAAGTGTTGCAGTACGTATTAAGAAAGAACTGATTTGCAATAATAACAATTAGATTTGATATATGAGTGATCTGAAAATTTGAGATTACCTTTGAATACTTCTGAGAATATGAAAGTCCTTTAATACGTGAATTTATAATGAAACAATGAGTTTGTAATATTACATTACTGATTTCAATATATGTCATTGATATAGTGGGTATGATAAAATTTAGTACCAAGTTCAAATACTGTTGTTCACTTCAAAAAGCACTTAAAAATGTGGCTTTATAATTGTTATGAAGTTAGTTTGAAATTTAATAAAAATTAGATCTACAAAATTAGATATGATACGTGTGATGCTTTTTCTAGAAACTAGATTTATTAATTAAATTAAATTAATTTAAATAACAATGAAATTACATTTCCGCGATAAATACACTGATAAGACTGCTGTTACTGGACTGACTATTGTACTCTCGCGAATTTCCTAGATATGTAATTTAACACCATTGCGCAATAGAAAGTAAATTAACATCTAACAGCTCTGCAAGATGTTAATTAAAGTAATTATTCTCTATGTTATTCAAATGGCTACCATCGCGGCATGGCACAAATGCGTTATATCATTTAATATAGACCAGGTATGTGTATTTCGCAAATTGCAAATCAAATATAAAGCATGTGCTGTTCATATGATGGTATCTACAGAAGCCAGAGTTTCAAGATATGAGAGTAGTATTTTCTTTAACAATCAAATGATTATCGATATATATTAAGAAATTCTTGAGAAAACTGTGAAAGTGCTTGTTTTTATATATAATTTTATTTTAGTTATGTATATGATTTGAGTGTAAGAAATATTCAGTTTCATTGGTAAAGAATGAAAACTATACGTATAAAAATATTAATGCGACTATTAAGTCCCGGTTTGACTAGGTCAGTCCCAGATTTCCAGCTTATGTCCCGGGTTTTTCTAAAAGCAATATTTGTTCCGGATTTAGATACTTTGTCCCAAATCGTCCCAGTTTTTCAAAAAGTATAGTATAAAAGTATAAATTGAGTCTTTGCAATTACTTGAGAAAAAAATTAGAACTACCCATCAAATATGTGAAAATGATAAATGATATGTACAACGAGTACGATCAATACGTTATGAATGAGAAAATTGCAGAACGTAAAATTCCAAAGGTAGGTAAAACTAGCAACTCATACTAATAATTACGAAATTCAATTGGAATTGCACGAAAATTGAGCAAACCAACTTTTTAGCTTTCGGCACAAGTGCTAATTATGAAGAAAATTGAATAGAAATTTAAACAAGACTTAGCACATATTTAATAAATTATAAGAAAATCTATTTCAATAAAAAAACAAATATAAAAAAAACTATTTTCAATATAACATTTTCTTTATAGATAAAAATTAAAATTGGTTTTTACTGATATAACCTTCCTTTTATTTTATAAATTAAAGATTTTGTAAAAAATGATTCTATTTTTTTGCTCACCTTGAATAAATTTACGTTATCAACTATATATAAACACTAATTAAAAGCAATGTTAAAACCTAAATGATGCTCTTCATTTTGATATTTCAAACAAACTAGCTTGTACACATACAAAATTTAGTTTGGATCATAAAACATTGAGTTTCATCTACTGTATCATCTACATATTTCCATCATAGGCATAGACTGCTAAAAATTGGTAACTGTAACATACATTTTGAAGTGGTATATTTTGACAGTAAAACAATTAAAATGTTATTATTGTAGATATAAGCAAGTTATAGGTCAATGTTTATAATATCGGGTGAATGCAACATTAATTTCGTTAAAAATGATTATTTTCAAAAACAGTGTAAAATCGAAAACGTGTAAAACGAGTACCGTGTAAAACGGGGGTAGGTGTACTAATAATCTATATACTAGAGTTTATACAAAAACCGACATTTCAGAAAACCGGGTTTCGAATTGTAAATTTCCAAAAAACCGGTTTAGCCGGTTTTCGAATTTTATATAAAAAATCAATTTTTGCTCGAATATTCTGTAATAACAAAAAAAATTATCGGCAATTTTAATACTATTCCGAACAATTTTAATTAATTAATTTCACATATTTAATTATTTTTTTGTTTAATAAAATATCATTGCTAAAAGCTGAAGACGCATATCGATTTGTTATTTAGAAGTTTCTTTTGTTTCTTCACAAAATTTTCCAAAATAGAAAATACTCTCGCAACCGAGTTAAGCTTTGTGGCTTCTAGGGCTAAAGACTGTTTTTTAAGTTTAAGTAGAACAATTCACTCCTTCAACAAGAAGTCATATTGATCTAAATTAGTATATACTTTGATATAATAATCTAAATTAATATATACATTAGACAAAAAATAACACAGAACCTTTCTGGAAACAATGGACTGATATTATTCTAAATTTTATCGAACAGTTAAGATTCCATCAAAGCAAGTTCCATCTAGTATATTTGTCATTTTCCATTTATACAGTAAAAATCGTTTTTTCCCTAAAAACCGGTTTTCGAATTTCATAATTTTTGTCAAAAAGCAGCTTTTCAAAACCAGTTTTTGAAAACCAACAAATCCTACTATATACAAAAAATATTTTTGTAATTTACTTAATGCTTTGAGATTATGCATTTACCTAGAGATTGATTATATTACATAAGTATTGATCGTAGATGATAATAAACAATAAATTTAAATCACTTACCATTTCTCTTCTGAGCACCGCCAACTGCGTGTCGAGTGTCGCCTGCGGTCTGCCAGTGCGCGGTGGTTCAGGCGGCGGTGGTCGTCCTTGAGACTGAGGACCAGCACCGCTGGATCGAAGCTCGAAGCCGCTCAGGCTCTTCGGCAGGGGTGGTAGCCCCGGCGGTAATGAAGCAGACATTCTGCAAAGCGATGGAGACTCACTATTAGATGACGAGTTACCACTATCACGTCTCTCACGAGAATTAACTACATCAGTGTCACTACTGTCTAAATTTATACGACAACTAGAATAAACCACTTCTGCACCGTCGTTCGACACTTCCGTCCAATCGGATGTACTTATAGAATCCAAATCTTGATCGTCAAATGATGCTTCAGATTTTTGATCAACAGAACTATCTAAACGCGTTTTAGAAGCTAAATCTTCCTGATCAGGTTGCCGTTGCCTTTTCCGTATCCTGTGTTCTTGTCTCATATCTTGGAGTTCTGATATCAGTAATTCATGATTAGCAATATCGCTAAAAGTAATAGCAGACTTTTTCACAGATGGCGGAGAAGCAGTTCTAGGTTTCTCAATATCGAGCTTCTCAGTTTCGCCGCCTTCTGGTTCAGGTCGAACTGACAAAGAAGCATCTCCAAAACTTCTAGAAGATTCAGTACTACACAATGTAATTTGCACTGAATTACTAATAGTGTTGCTAATTATAGAGGAAGTCGTGGATTCGCCACCTCGGATCTCGATAGTCGTGGTTGTTGTAGGAACTCCATTTGCTAAAATACGAGTCGCGGAAGTCGTAGAGCCACTTCCTATGACAACACGTGTTTCTTCCACTGGTGGAATAGAAATTTGTGTATCTGAAGAGGGTGCTATGGCAACTTTTGTTACACTACTTTTAACTTGTATATCTTTATTATTAGGCTCTGCATTATTCAAAGCATTATTAGATATAATTATTTCAGGCTCACTCAAACTTTTTGTTTCAACTATTTCTTTGTAATGATCAAGATTGCCATTACTCATATTTAATGAGGTTTCTGATACTGAACTGTCAGCATTACTTTTAAAGAAATCTTGCAAATTAGTTGAAGCTTTAAAATTGGTGGAGGATTCATTCATTACTTTTGGCTTAAGGTCATAATTATCACAATTTACAGAATTAATATTAATTTCTTTTTGAATATTATTTATTCGTATAGAATTCACTTCATTTCCCTTGATAAAAGTTTGGTCTGGTGCAACACCTGTATATGAATTATTCTTTATTTTGCTATTATTCTCTACTTTTTCTTCATGAAGACTTTTTATAATATCCTTAACACTTGGACACTTAACAATATTATTCATATTATTCATATTATTTTTAACGATGTCATCCTCAGTTTTCTCAAAACTATTGTTTATGCTATCGAAACGTCTTATATTATCCAACTTTGAAGTTGGACTTCCGGCTTTTGGCTTCGGTAACTTACTTGCATCAATATTACAAATTTTCGAAGGTTCGTCATTTAATGACTTGTTTTCGATATTTATTGTGCCTTTTTCTTGCCTTTCAGCATCTTCTAATTTTTTCTTTTCTTCGTCTCTGATAAATGAAGGCGACCTGTAAATGACTGTTCCACCCCAAGCCACAAGTCCAGGGTTCTTGTTGTTGGTGGCATTTTTGGCATTTAATAGATCTTCTCGTTTTTTAATAACTTGATGGTTGACGTAGTTTCCGAATGATTTTTCTGTACGATCAATTAATTTAGAAACATGACTGATAGGTTTAGGTGGTCTATTTTTAGCTAAAGCTTCAGCAACCACTTGTTTACTTGGTCGTGGTGGAACAGGGGGAGGCGGCCTTCCACCTTTTGCACTAATCATTATGACAAATTATTCGCAATATTGTTCTAAATAATGTAATTTACTTTTTATTGTTGTAAGCCTTGGTAAGGCTGAATAATAAACTGTTTCCTTGTTTAGTGGGTAATTCGCCTTTTTTGTCTAATTCCGAATAGATACTAGAGATTACTAACAATAGATCCTTTGTTCGTATGCTGTAGTAATCAGACCGTGGTAACTTGGGCACGAATTCATGTTTATCAAAGAACATCTCGTTATTACCTCACATGTGGGTTGCGGTAATGTTGCATCTCAATGCATTAGTTCTTTCACTTCCTTTTGGAAAACTTAATGAATCAATGTATGTTAATGAATACGTAAAATCAATTTACATTTTTTTAAATATTTAATTTACAGTCTAATAATTCTATCTCGTTCTTGTTTCATGCTCCTGTAATTACACGCAAAGATTTTTAATTTGATTTCAATGTTTCTGAACTAAAATTGCTCTTATGTTCAAGGTAATTGCTATCGCCTGTTCATATTTTATGTACTATAAAATATAATTTATAACAAATAAATGCAAATCACTAAATGTTATATATAAAATTTTTCTGTACGAGTGTATGAAAGCAAACTTCTACTGCACGGTTATATAAATTTTGATAAATCCTGCTTGAAGTTTGTTAAGGGGAATTTTTGAGATGTAAATAATTATAAAAATATCGTAATATTGTAGAAATAAATAGAAAAAAATGCAGAAAACAACATATCATTGTTTGACATTGAAAATATTTTGAAAAATGATAACTGTCATCTTGCCAGAAATTTCAATTCACTTATGAGCCTAGATAATATGATCATGATTGTGAGTAAGAAAAATGTAATGTGACAACATTATTGCCGAAAAGCAGCTGAGATGTGCCAGAAATTAAAATAATATAAGATACAGTATATGTTTGGCAGGTGAATATATGAATCAGTTCGACATATCAATTTTTCTAACTAATGCATGTCGTATTTTGCCTTACTTTACTAAATTATTTCACAATACAAAAAAAAAATTACTTATTCCAAAAATTATTTAGAAGTTTCATTGTATCAAAAATTCAATTTGTTTGGCATTCGATATGGAATATTTAGTTAGTGGGGTTAATTTTTGTGGGATAAATTTGGAAAATCAATGTTTAGTCATAAAAAAATATTTATTTAGACATCTGGAGGTATGACTAAATTTTGTATAACCATTGGCATTAAAATAAATTCGAGTAATTTAAAAAACAATAATTATTATATAACTGAACGGTAAATATCAGTATAAGAAATTAAAAAGATTGAAACAACATCAAAAATGATTCGAAAAAATTGTACCGGCGACCATCGAAAGAAAAATAGAATAGCTGGAATTCATGGGACAAAAAAGTAAAGTATAGACTTTTCGAATACAATATAAAAAAGTCAATTTAATATTTTCTATAAGTATCCAATATAATGCTAATTATAGACCTTTTTCTTAACACCCAACTTATCGTTAAAATAATTTAATAAATTGAAAATTATAAATAAATAAAATTGGTACAATTATGATAAATTTTATTACGTATTTTTAACTAGTAATTTTTTTTCAATATGTATTAAGATCGTCACAAATCCATTGTATAGAATTAATTTGCATGCAATTTATATTTTCGTCGAAGCAGAAATATTTTAATTAAAAGTTCTTCTGTTCAAAAGTATGTTAAGCAAAAACATTCTAGCAGACTTTGTTTAGTAAACAATAGTTAATATAATACCTAATAAAAATCTTATTCTAAACAATTTCTCAAGCCAGATCAAAAAATTTAAACAAATATTGTTTACCTTTAATTTGTTTTCTTAGCACAATCCAATAACGTCAAAAACGAATTAACAACTACTGATGGTACCAACGAAATAATTCTATTTTACAATCTCGAATATATATTATATTTAATCACATAAATGCAATTTCAGGCATGTTAAAATGTGACAACGCACGTGTCGAAGTATTTTTAAATAAAAAATTTCTATGTGCGTAATAAATGAATTGGACAATGGCATATTGATAATTGTATAAACATTCGAAATATTGTCATAAAGAAGACATGTAACACAATTGTAGTACATATTGGGATAAAATAAGGATAGAAGAATTAACGCTGGAATTTAACTACTTCTAATTTGACAAGTTTTCAGGTTTGGGTAAAGAACCAAGAATTTAATAGTTGCAAGACAAAAATTTTATTACTGAGGCGCAGACAAGTTCAACAAAGTATATTCTGTAGTATTATATTTCATTTTACTACTAATAAAAATTAATTTTATTTGCAATATCAAAATAAACTAGTGGTGTATGGCATTGTGCCTTAAGGCAAATTGCTGGAATTTATTCCCATACCGTAATAAAATATTGGATAAATATTAAATGTTTTCAAATAGATTATTATAAATCCTGCAACTTTCATTATTCTAATTATATAGACAAAAAATAAGATTTTATGAATTGGACGACAACGTTTATATGTTTACAGAAACCTAAACGAACATAAATTAATCAATAAGATTTAAAATGAAGGATATTATCTAATATTTATAAGAATTATATAAACTGAATGGTAAAGTTTAAATTATTTATTTAAAGTATATAAGTGAGCTTTAGAACTTCAACTAAAATTAAAATTAAAATTCGAATTATTTTCGATGTTCATAATAAATATGTTTTGGATATTAAAAAAAAAAAAAACCCTTTCTACACTAGTGAATTGCGAGATTTATATGTATTTTACGGCATCCAAGTGGAAAAGGTAAAAATACATTTTTCCTCCAAAAACAACATTTTCGTTAACACAAGCAGAAAGATTTTTGGATCATTCAAATCGGATGGTCTGTTCATTCAAAAACTCGATTTCTATTTTCTCTAAAACGGCTGGACCTGTCTTTGCCAAAAACTCATCAGCACATCACCCAATCAATAGAAATCGAATGTTTTTTTTAACAATTCAAATCGGTTGATCCGTGCGCTCAAAAACGTGGAGAAAAAATAGTATCCATACAAACGCACACACACACATACATAGATAATTAAATAATATTATTAATAATATTATAATTGTTCATTATTATTACTAGATGTTAAATTATTTAACAGTTGTAATAAATATTGTAATTGTAAAAAAACACAGTACATTTTTTCTAAGGTATGTAAAAATGTTCAGAAACCTTCGAAAAGTGCAGATATACAAAAATTTTCGATCAAGTTTAGATTTTTGGAAGATTACAATAATAACCTAAGGAAAGTTAAAAAACGAAATTAAGATTAATGTATGTATATAATGAAATGTATGTATATAATGAAAGGTGAATGAAATCACAATATCCTTTCATAATAAACTACTACTACTTATTAAATTTAATTTGAATTTAAGTAATAAACTAGATTTTATTGCATTGTTTCTACTTTTATTATGTATTCTTACATTATTGATAAAAATTACATTCATGTTCAGATTTTAAATTTATTCTCTGTCAGAACCGAAAGTCCAAAATTTGCGGCTACATGAGCTCATAATGCATTTTGACATGCTAAATGGTTAAACGATCAAATGGTTATTTCTTCTTAAACAGTAAGTATCAATCCAACTATTTTGAAGAACTCCAAATATATGAATGCATCATTGGGAAACTCTTGCAACCCTTTGCACACTGTGCCATTACTCAAGAGCGAAGACAATTTATTATAATATATTAAAAAATCATTCTAATCAATATGTTTGTCAGTTAATGTGTAATGTCCTTTCAATTCGTCTCTGGATGACAATTATCGCTCGACATACGCTTTTTATACGATTTGTGAGTCATGAACAACGCCGGCTCAGCTACTGAATTCTAGAAATTCCGCATGGTTAATTGATTTTGCAAACAAAATTCATTTACGTCTTATACAATTGTATTGTTTAGATTACTCATTTTTTATTATGTTGTTGATAAAGCATTATGAAATCATAATGGTAAAACAATAAAGCTGATTGCTCACGGTAACAATATCAATAAACATTGGATTGTAATGATGATGGGAGATGTGACCAAAGGTCGAATATAACCTCGAGATTTGAATAAATAAATGTGTTAAAAACCACAGGCAATTTCAAATCTATGAGTAATAATAATAAAATGATACATCTTGTGTAGAAGTCTGATTTGTTGTCTTTAATAAATTCTTATTTGAACAATATTTTATTTAGAATACGAGTGGTACTGTAGAAAAATCGTATGATACGTTTGGAAATAGCGTGGAAAGTGGGTTAATTTGTGTTATTTCTAATTTGAATTATGAAATTAATTGAGTTAAAGATTAAATTTATTTGAAATAAAAATCAATAGGGTTTAGCTATTTTACAATGGGTGTATTACTTCGGTGTCAGTAATTTTAAGACATGTAAAAATATAATCAACTTTGTGAAAATTTTGTAAATATACGGTAAGTACGGAAAAAACAACATTGTTTTTTAAATACATTTTTTGTAAAACTTTGGTTATAATTACAATTGAAATCTACATTATTTTCGATATTCAATACAAAATATTTTTTCAAATTAAAAAAAAAAGAAATTTTAAAAAAAATCCCCAAAAGCAATCGTTTCGTCAATACAAGCAGTAAGATTTTTAAATCATTGAAATCGGATGCTTAGGTCTGTCAAAAACTGCAACTTTTTGTACATTTAACTCCGTATCTCCGAAACGGCTGGACCTGCCTTTGCCAAAAACTAACCACCACTTCTCTCCATCATTACAAATTGAATGTTTTTTGGGTTATTCAAATTGGATGCTGTGTTCTCTCAAAAAATTATTTCCGTTTTCTGCACTCTTTTCTTCGTATCTCCGAAACGGTTGAGCCAGGTTTTGCCAAAAACTAATCAACACATTTACCTATGAATAGGAACTGATTGTTTTTTCACAATTTACGTAAAATTGTATCCACACATACATACATCATATGGTATGCCACAATGTTCAGAAACCTCTAAAACGTAAAGATATGTAAAATTTTCAATTCCGATTTTTGGACGATTACAATAACTTACCCTATGGGAAGGTAATAAATAATTTGGTCAAGGAACAAGTCATACATCGTAACCAACTTTCACCAGAACGGGAAAAGAGCGTCTTGGAACAAATGCTCTACTTTTACTAAAGTCTCTACTTTTTACCGAATCTTTTGGCATATTTTTAAAAGTAACTACAGTAAAAAATAAAAGCCAATCACCTTTGACAAGTTTCAATTTTCTTTTATCTTGGCCTCGAATTAACTACTCGAAGT